TTATCACCTCTTCAGGTTGTAAATTGTGTTTTTAAAAAGTAACTAAGTAACTAAGTAATTAATTACTTTTGAAAATAAGTAATCAGTAAAGTAATGGGATTACTTTTTGGGGGAAGTAATCAGTAATTAGTTACTGATTACTTTTTTCAAGTAACTTGACCAACACTAGTGATGTAACAATAAAAGTGATTTGATTTGATTTGAGATCTGGTTTTCTTTGCCAAATGATGAAAAAAGTGACCACCTTATAATTGGTTCACATTGACAGAATTTATTTGTCTTTGTTGGTCTCTTTATAAAAATGTCATGCCCTCTTTGTATTTCTCCAGTAGTTACTCTTGAATTCTGTTTCTATGCGATGTTGTTAACGTTTACTAACTGGTGTGAGTGCGGGGAAATGTTAGCATGCTCACACACTAGCTAAGCTAACAAGGCGCTGACTCAGTAAACCGCCATATTGATCACCATTGTTGCTCTACTTTACAATACCTCTGCTCCGGCTGTGAGTGCCCTCCCTCTCAGCCCGTACCCACCCTTTCAGGCACCACAGATCCCAACAGTGACATAGCGAGCCAGTTCGAGTTGGACTTTGCCCTCCCCCCAGTCCTCCCGTGCCGGACACCTGGCGTGTACAGTCCAGCCTGTAACTTAACCAGAACTGGTTGTTGCCTCCTGTAAAATGTCGTTTTTGTGTTTTTGATCCACTCGTCCATGCGTGTATGCAGAAGCATAACTGTGAAGATTAACATTTTAATAAACACCTGTCATGAATATACATGTCTTCTTCCCCAGGTGTGCACTAAGTGCCGTGCTAGGCTCAGTTTGTGCCCAACATGCTGAGGTCCCCTGGGTTCCAACAGGAACCTGGCCATGGAGAAGGTGGCCAACTCTGTCCTCTTCCCCTGCATGCACGCTGCATAAGGGTTCACTGAGTTTATTATCATGTGTGAAATATCAGTGCATCACGAAGAGAAAAGAAGAGAAACTGCTGTTGGTTCGTCTATAGGATGTTCAGCTTGTTGGCTCTAGACAGGACCAAAGGGTGCTTCCTTGTGATGAACACCTCACATCTGCATTTCCACAGCATGGAGCACAAATTATGTGTAGGATCTACAGCATGAGTTAAAATGGTAAATGGCTGTATTTGTATAGCGCTTTACTTAGTCCCTATGGACCCCAAAGCTCCTTACAGTACATTCAGTCATCCACCCATTCACACACTGCTGATGGCAGCTACATTGTAGCCACAGCTGCCCTGGGGCACACTGACAGAGGCTGCCAGACACTGGCGCCACCCGGCAATGGGTGAAGTGTCTTGCCCATGGACACAACGACTGAGACTGTCCAAGCCGGGGCTCAAACCGGCCACCTTCTGATTACAAGATGAACTGGCAACTCTTGAGCCACGATCGTCCACCAAAGCCCAAATCTGAGAAGAGAATATGCACTTAAACACAGCTGACAGGGTCGGCTCTTCTTCTTCTGCTTGTTGCAAACACTGATTTCCAAAGGCACGAAGAAAAAAAGCCCTCACTGTGTTTGAGTAATTAAGAGTTCTGATCTATGGGCTGATTTAGGAAACAGGATGAAAAAAATGGAAGAATCAGTTATTTAGAAGGAAAGGTAACTTACCAGTAAACAAATCACGCTTCTCCAGTCCTCTGCTGACATCACTGACTGTTACCAAATCACATGATCGAGTTCTGCTATATCTCATAGGATACTGTAACTGGGAATCAGGTATGATCTGTGAGGAATTTTATTTGTGTTAATCCAACTAATGTCATTAATCACATGTGCACATCATCCATCTGTATAAAGTCGGAGTTATTTGGAATTAGATCTTGGAAATTATATCTAATGATTGTAGAACAAAGTTCATTTTTTTTTGCCTGTGTGGTTTTCTGTAAATATACTTGAACAGGTCTAGTTACCACTTTTTTAAACCCTTACGGGCGACCCAAGAGTTGCCAGTTCATCTTGTAATCAGAAGGTGGCCGGTTCGAGCCCCGGCTTGGACAGTCTCAGTCGTTGTGTCCTTGGGCAAGACACTTCACCCCCAGGGCAGCTGTGGCTACAACTGTAGCTGCCTCCACCACTGTGTGGATGAGTGGGTGTGTGAAGCGCTGTGGGGTCCCTAGGCGGGACTAGTAAAAGAGCTAAACAAATACAGGCCATTTACCTTACAAGGTAAAACCCCTGGGAATGTAAACCATTACAAACAACTTAGGGATCATATTGGTATTTGTCCTCTTTTAAACAACTTCAATAATTTTAAAAGTAAAAGATCAAGAGAAGAAGATAAGAAATGAAAGGAGAAAACCAGAAATTACCCTCAGTTAATTACTTTCCATGGCATGTTTCTGAGAGCATACATGTTTCTGGGTCTCCTGTCAGGTTCAAGCAGCACCTTCATCCTCAGCTCTGCTGCTTCCGTCATCACCAGAACTCCTCCGTCAGTCCGTCACACCCGTGCTCCACCAACTCCACCGGCTGCGGTTAAACACTGTTCAAGTTCAAGCTTCTCCACCTTCTCCACCTTTAAGTCTCTACTGTTCTTCTCTGAACACATCTTCGCCCTCTCAGGTCCTCCGTCCATCACTCTCCACTTTCCAGCCTCTCAGAGCACACTTCCTTCCACCTGTCACATGACTCCTCTGTCCTTACTGATGTTATATTCATGTTTCTGTGAGGTGACTTTAAATCAAACGTATTATTATTCATGTGTTTGGGAGGAAGCCGGAGAGAACACGAGAACACGGACAGTTCCCTGTTGTCATTAACAAATGTTCTCAAACAGAAGCTAACCTGGCATCATAACTACAGTGCTGACTTTGGCCACGCCCCCACTCACCTGTTGGTTTTCGCCCTGTGCTCACAAACACATCGATAAAAGCTAACGCTCCAGGATCTGTTTACATACTCATGTAAATATGCACATGTGCAAAAATGATGTTTACAGTAAGATGGGTCTCTTATGGATGATAAACAGATAATCCAAATCTCAGATTAGCTCATAATCTCTGATGATGTTAGCTATACAGGGCACATAAACAAGCTAAGTGACATAGTGAGACCTGAACAGTTTGCACTTTGGCTCATTAACATGAGAGATACAGCGAGCTTGAATCTGATGATTTAACCTCTTGTAACGTCTGCAGTACACAGACGGTTCCAACTGAACTGAGCAAAAACAGCAAAACACAAAAACACCTGCGTGAACGAAAAGGTCTTTGTTCTGTTTTTGAATGTACACACAGTCGTAACTGATCTTAGGTGAGCAGCAGCTTGTTCCAAAGAGCAGCAACTGAAAGCAGATCGGAGATCTGATCCTGGAGCAGCAGGTGCTGACCCCCACCCAGAGCTACCACAGGATGACCAATGACGCGGCTTCAGTACTGTGTGGTCAGATTTCCATGGTAGAGTCAGCCGTTAATCGCTAATCATCAAACATCATGAATCAGACCCAATACCAAAATTACTTTTAAATACTTTATTGCAGGACAGTACTGCAGTACTCTGGGTACTCTGACCCACTGTGAGCTGTTACACCTCCACAGCTGGCAGGGGCTGTGCAGGGGTTTACCTGCTAATCCAGGTGTGGATGGCCGCTCCACCCTCAGAGGAACTCCTGGATCACTACCTCCTTCAGAGAGTGGGAGGACGCTTCCCCACGCTCGGCATCTCTCAGAGCGGTCAACTCATCCTGCAGCTGAGCCACGGGCCGGCCCAATTGGTACCCGAGGTCCACCAGCAGCTCCAGCAGCGGCGCTCTGTAGTGCGTCAGTCCGTAGCGCCTCACCGGAGGCAGCGCTCTCTGAGCGGCGGAGAACGCCCGCTCCGGTTCGTCCAGGTCCCGGTAGCAGACGGCGAGGGCGGCGAGGGCGGGCACGAGGAGGGTGGGCTTCTGCCAGGGCAGCAGCTTCTCCTGGATGTCCAGCACGGTCTGCAGCAGCTCTGCGGCTGGCCGGAACTGCCCCGCCCGGAGCAGGCCGTGCGCCCGCTGCTGCTCCTGCTCTGTGAAGAAAGCCGAGAAGCAAGGCGAGTGTCTGACGCAGCGCGTGGCGTACAGCTTCGCCAGGTAGTCCTGCAGCGCCAGGCGCCGCTCCCCGATGCTCTCGGGGGAGAAGTTCCCCGAGAGCATCTTGCGAGGCAGCTGCACCTCCTCCAGCTCCTCGTCAAACTCCTCCAGCAGTTTGTGGTGGAAGCGGGAGAAGTCGCTGTAGCGGCGCTCCACCGAAACACGGCGGGAATCGAAGCTGCCAGAACGCATCACCACCACCTGGTAGAGCTGCAAACAAACAGAAAGAACCGTGACCTTTGACCTTTAAAGTTTAAAGTTAACTTTGCTGCAGCGCAAACAGCCAGTCAGAGAAACAGGCTGGACTTCCTGTTCCCTCTCAACGGTGAACCCACCGCAGGCGTCTTTTCTCTGAGACGTTATGCTGACGATTACATTCATTCATACAACACCGAATCACGACTGATCACCTCGAGGTGCTTTACACTGTAACATAAAGACTCTACAACCATACAAAGAAAACAGAGAACCCCCAAGAGTCATGTGACCCCCTGTGAGCAGCACTTTGGCGACAGTGGGAAGGAAAAACTCCCTTTTAACAGGAAGAAACCTCCAGCAGAACCAGGCTCAGGGAGGGGCGGGGCCATCTGCTGTGATTGGTTGAGGTGAGAGAAGGAAGACAGAAGAGAGACAGAAGTTAATAATAACTAATGATTAAACACCCAGTGCATCATGGGAATCACCCAGCAGCCTACACCTATTGCGCCATAACTACGGGACTATGTGCTTCGTCCTGATGATGATGCTGTGTTTTGGTCCTCTGGGGCACCATAGACAAGCAGAAAGTTGCTGATGTGTCAGTTTGAATATTTCCTTCATTATGGAGCACATTAGCTTCTATGACCGCACGGCATCGGTTACCTGCACTCATCAATGAACAGCTCCCTGACTGAGTTTTACATGTTTGAGGTTTAAAATGAACACACCTGACAGTTGCAGGCAGGGAAACTGTTGGGACCGCACAGCAGGTGGACAGGTGAGTGCAGGCAGGTGTGTTAAAGCTGGTCTTTGGGTTGCTTATTATCTCAAATATGTCTTCATATAAAGATTTCACTGCTCAGCCAGTGCCTCTTATGACCAGAGTTCACCTTTACTGCTTCCTGCTCCAATAGCCACACCTTTGGAAAATAAGCCCCTCCTCCTCAGGTTAAACTTTCACTTCCTGCGGGCTCACCTTCATTGAAAGTTAGCTGTGAACATTTACAGGTTAGCCGCTTTGCCCCTCATCCTCATCCTCTGTCTGAAAGAATCTCTTCTGATTGGCTGTCCCTCAAAAACAGAAGGTATTTCACCTCTATGACATCACAGGGATCCAAGAGTATAAAAACTGCTGAGCAGAGTGTTTGGAGTCGGCTGGTGGGTGTGTTTCGGTGTCTCACCACGTATTTGTGTAGCACGTGCTCGACGATGCGGGTGGAGGGGATCTCAAAGAGCAGCCGGACGGGTCGCTCTCGCTGCTTCACCGCCCTCCAGTTCTGCTGCAGCTCCTTAGTGGTTAAACTGGAAGAGCCGGGCAAGTCCTCTGAAACAGCAAACACAGCGAGTCAGCACCCACTGCTGGACTGGCACACCTGTGGAAAGGCTGCATTATTAGGGGCGGGGGCTCTTTGACTCTGCGTGCCGCTTTAGCAGCTGCCAGCCTCTTTGAAACCCACCTCCCTACCAGCTCCTCTTTTCACTGTTTCTGACGTGAATCATTGGCTGCAAACACATAAATATCTGCCAGATTAAAGCTCAGCGTCACTGTTTACTCGGGTGGAGGTCTGAAATGTGAGTGAGACTTGACCTAAAAGTTTGACGTTTCAGTTCAGACAGAAGAATGAAGAAGAGGAAGGTTAAAGGTGAAAGACGACAGAACCTGGAGTCATTGTGTCCACCTCAGTCAGGTCTTGGGCTCCCTGCTGAGCTTCTGCCATCGGGTCCAAACTGCTGATCTGAGGCCAGAGAAGCTCGCTTATCCTCCTGATGTTCACTCAGTGATGGGCAGCTGTGTTTTCTGGCTCTGCTTCATCTCTTTTGGATTTTTTTATTCCTGTAAAGATCAAAGCTGCCAGTGTGGCTCCTGCAGGTGAGTGAGGGGTTAAAAAGGCCCGAGCGGGCCTGCCGAGCGTCGCTAACAGAAGAACGTGCTGCACGTTTGCGTGCTGACAGACGAGTGCAGGCAGGAGGAAGTCGACTTCAGCAAACATGCTGAAGAGGAAGTGAAATGAAAGACCAGTGTGTCGTAAATGGTGTGTGAGAGAGGTGCTTGTTTCATGGCTGCGGAGCAGCAGGCGGGTGGAGTTAGCTAGCAGAAAGCAGTGTTTTGCATGCAGCTCCTCTCTGCTCCTCTAGGGGGAGCTCTGAAAGCTCTTTAAGCTTTAATGTCCATCTGCAGGTGCACAGGCAGGTCAGAGGTCACAGGCAGACACCACTGAGTAGTCTTTATTAGATTTACCTTGACATGCTTCACAGTGTTAGAGAGGAACTCAGACGAGCCCTCTGAGCAGCTTTCTGTGACAGAGGGGAGGAAGAAGACCTCCAGCAGAACCAGGATCAGGGAGTAGGGCTGGGCGATATATCGAGTTTTTTAAAAATATCGATATATTTTCATACGAGATATAAAATGTGACAATATCGTTTATATCGATATAGTCTATGTTACGTTATGATTATACTTGTGGAGCCGCAGGTTTGCCTCTCTTTCGTCCACTTTTGTCTCTACGCAACGTTACTCGGCCTCGCCTCTCCTTCACTGAACACAACTCCGCCTCCCCCATAGCTTCACCTGCAGGCAATGACAAGATGAAAGCGGAAAATCCCCGTTAGCGAGTTACCGTGCGTGGGGCTGGACAGCGTCAACGTGTTAGCGAGCTAACCGCGCTAACGACATGCAGCCAGGAGGGGCTGCACGGACTAAAATCCTTTCATTTTCTCAAAAATCGACAGCGCGCCTTATGTATGAATTCTGGTTGTGCTTACTGACCGCGAACCGATTTTATGTGGTACACAGCGCTCAGCAATCTGTCAAAAAATGTTTTAATATGACTTTGCTAAGCTACGGAGCTGCACCGCTTGATGGATTGTCGGAGGATTACGGCTACCGAGGAGGAGCCTCGCGGAGTGATACGTACTGTGTGTGTAAGGACCACAAATGGCACCTGTTCAGAGACGTGGTGCAGCTGTGAAATCTGTCTTTGTTATTATGCTCAGCGTCTATTAGTTTACATTTTGACTGCATAATTGTGAGCTTTTTGTTATGCGCAAAAACAACATTGTTTTCTTTTATTTATGGACCATGATTATTTAATAAATGCTGATAATTTATTTTTGAGTAATTTCTTCATGTACATCTACGCTGTATGTAAATAAAAGTGCCCGTGTGACATCTGGGACACAGTGTGACTAAGAACTCTCTTTTTGTTCTTAACTTATGGCTTTAAAAAACAAAAATCGAGATATATATCTTATATCGCCATCCAGCTAAAAAATATCGAGATATGAATTTTGGGTCATATCGCCCAGCCCTATCAGGGAGGCAGACGTGGTTCAGACGATGCTTGCTGCGGTTTAACAGGATAAATCAAGCTGTGACTCATCTGCACAGCTGAACTTTGACCTATGATGCTCAGAAGGAACTGAGACTAAAGTAAAAATAAAATCAGTCTCAGTGACGGAAATAAAAATGAAAGCCAGACTTTAGAAAAACAGGAAACCTGACCACAAAACTACCCCCTCCCCCCCCCCAGCTGCGTGTCTCCACCCCTGCATGATCACGTGCCTGGCTCAGGGCGGCAGCAGGGTGCAGTTTTAGAGGAAGCACCTGCGCAGACTCGGTTCTTCTGCGCTGTGACGCTGATCAGCTGTTTCTCCGTCAAAGTGAAAGTAAAAGTGTTCTCGCTCGCGTCACAGCTCCAGGATCAGCTGATCCGACAGGTTCGCTCTTCCTCCTCCGCAGGTGTCCTGGACACGGTGAGTCAGGTGCTCTTAATAACCGCGTGGGAGGACACGGTGGAGAGGTGATGGAAACACAGTGGCTGTAAAAGGAAGCAGGTCGCACTGCGCCTGATTAAAGGATGATTTATTCATTAAGGGAACAAAGTGATCAAACCTACCTGCCTGTGTGCAAAAGTAACTGCCCCATAAACCTGATAACTGTTTATTGTGTTTGAGTCGGTACAGCATTTAGGAGAGGAAGTTCAGTAGAATACAGTAAAATGCAGTAGAACATGCATCGGTTTTGACAGCAGGCAGCTGATGGCGTGCTCAGCGTGCCCACTTGCACCAAACAGGCTCAGACACTGATGTCCACTTTTCTGTAAATAGTTATTATCTGACTGACTCTTCCTGCTCCTTTATTTGTGAATGCTGCACAGAGCGAGCGTGGTGGAGGTCTCTGTTTCTTCATTTCATTTTAAATACAGACGTTCAAATATTCTGGTAAGCTCTGGTTTCTGCTCTGACTCTCAGCAGCTGAAAATGACAAGCCAGCGAGCTGAAGATGCCACGGAAACCAGCGAGGTGTTCCAGCTGCTGGAAAAGTACTGCAGCAAGAGGTCAAAACAGCGCTCACCTGAGATGGCAGTGAGGACGATTGCTGCCCGCCGTGTGAAAGGAAACGTCCCAGGTTGGTTTGAACTGTGAGCACGCAGCTGGTGCTTCCTCCTTCCTCTGCTCACCAACACGGGAAAGATTCTCTGTGGGTCTTCTGATGTGCTCACCTGTGTGCTCACCTGTGTGCTCTCTGGTCAGTTATCTTTCCTGAGGGTCCAGCTCCCAGTGCAAGTTTCCAGAAGTCTCTGGAGGTTGTACTTGATGGAGAAGGTGAGTGAACAGGTGTTTCTCTGACGTCCTGTCCGTGTTGAGGCTCAGACTCATCACGCCGACCGCTCAGTTTGTTTCTCAGGTGAGTCTTCCACCTGTGATGAGGTGCACAACAGGATGCTCAGTACCTCAGCGCACACGGATGGTGAGTGTCCAAAGCGGCAGCAGGACACTTGTGTGAAGGTGAGAATGTCGGAGTCCTTTTACTCTGCCTGTTCTAACGAGGCGTCTCGCTGTGCCGCAGACATCGTCCAGAGACTGGTGGAGCTGATCAGAGCGGAGGGAGACGACATCGACAGGAAGGTGAATCAGACGCGTAGATGGCTGCGGCAGGTAGGCACCTCAGTACTGAACACCGGTGTATTTCTGTCAGATCAAACAGAACCTGGGCCTCCAGCAGCAGCTCAGAGACCTGGACTATGACATGTTCAAGGAGCTCACCTCCAGCGTGCAGAGCCTGGTCCACCCGGCGGAGCAGGCGGCACCCTCTGAGGTTCACATTCAGAGGCAGAAGATCGCTCTGGCCTTCGAAGTGACCAGCAGGCTGTCAGCCACGAGTCTGGTCCACCAGAGGAGGGTGCTGAGCTTTGGAGAGCGGTACATTCAGGAGAACCACTCGGCTTGGGTGGAGCAGCACAGAGGCTGGGTGAGCATGAAGATGTGTTAGAACGTGAACTGTTAACTTTCACTGATGTTGAAGCGATTTCTGTGAAATGAAAACGATTTCTGGGTATGTTGTCTCTGTCCAGGCTGAAGCTTTCAGCATCGACTGAGCCGCACGAACCTCAGAGGAATCTCCAGGTGGAGGTCACCACGCTGTCAAAGTTCAAGTATTTGAGCCATATTTGTTTTGTAAAAGTAGAATTTTTTAAAATAAACTTTTGAAAAACACACATGCTGACTGAGTGTCACTGACAGTCTTTGTAAACTGAGAAGTTCTTACACCCATCAAACTCTCGCTCCGCCTTCCTGGACGGTCAGTGACCTCGCAGCAGCCATGTTATTGGTCACACGATGTCATTACAAATACTCCAAAAGGCTCCAACAGCACAAACGCGGTGCAGAGCTCAGCCAAGCAGCTACAGCCACCTGTGTCACCATCCACCTGTCAGTCAAAGAGGCCACGCCCCTAACAATGCAAACTTTCAAACAGCTACAGAGACCAAACGGTTTGTGTATCAGACTGTAAACATGTTGATCTTAACACAGGAGTCTATGAGTGCTGACTTCATTCAGTTCAATTCAACTTTATTTATACAAATCACAACAACAGTCACCTCGAGGTGCTTTATATTGTAACCAGACCCCACAATAACACATACAGAGAAACCCAACAATCATATGACCCCCTATGAGCAAGCACTTTGGCGACAGTGGGAAGGAAAAACTCCCTTTTAACAGGAAGAAACCTCCGGCAGAACCAGGCTCAGGGAGGGGCGGGCCATCTGCTGTGACCGGTTGGGGTGAGAGAAGGAAGACAGGATAAAGACATGCTGTGGAAGAGAGACAGAGGTTAATAACAGATATGATTCAATGCAGAGAGGTCTGTTAACACATAGTGAGTGAGAAAGGTGACTGGAAAGGAAAAACTCAATGCATCATGGGAATCCCCCGGCAGCCTACGTCTATTGCAGCATAACTAAGGGAGGATTCAGGGTCACCTGGTCCAGCCCTAACTATATGCTTTAGCAAAAAGGAAAGTTTGAAGCCTAATCTTGAAAGTAGAGATAGTGTCTGTCTCCTGAATCCAAACTGGAAGCTGGTTCCACAGAAGAGGGGCCTGAAAACTGAAGGCCTGACTGTGACACATCGTGAACGTTTCAGTCTGCCGTCACAGTCCACTGAAACTAAAAGTCAACCACCTGAATTCTTTATTTTACCAACAAAAACATGTCTTTAGTTTCTGTTATTTGTTAATGATCCTTCAGAGGGTTGTCGCTTTACTTTTAAGTGTTTATGAGTCACATCTACTCTTTAAAACGCCTTTCACTATTTTCAAGAGACCAAACCGTGTGGAAGGGGGTCGGTTTAAAGGAAATGTCCCAGTTTAAACTCGGACGCGTTAGCAGCACAGTGGCGGTCCTAGCCTGTTTGGAGCGCGGGCGAACACCTCGCCCCCCCCCCCCCCCACACACACACACACACACAAAACATATTAAGGATTTGTACATTAACATAAAACTGTTGTACACACACACACATATGAGAGAGAGAGAGTATGCATAGTATGCAAACGCTACCAAACAGCCATCATAATTCGTCATACAATGAGAACAGGACAAATCAACAACTGACAATGACTAATTATATTAAAATCTTTAACATAATGTATTGTTTGGAGTTTAGTCTGTTACTGTTGCTATTTTTATCATTTCGTCTTGGAGCAACTGTAACCCACATAATTTCCTCAGGGATTAATAAAGTGTTCTGATTCTGATTGGTTCAGGATGACCTGCCATTATCCAATCACACATCTGCTTACCTGCATCTGTTGCTCGTTTCTCCTCCTCTTCTTTTCTCTTTTTTCTAAACTGAGCTCCTGATGGCTTTGAACTTTTCTTGTCCATCTTGGTTTTAATTTTGCACTCCAGCATGAACACAAATCCCCCAACCCGAGGATCACGACATAACCTAACAGACCCTAACAGACCCTAACACACCGACACCTTAGTTCACAGACTCCCTTTCTCTAAGGTGTATTTCTGAGATTTCACACAACCCAGGATTCAGATCATGAATCCATGATGGGCTTGGATTTACAACATTATGAATGAAATGTGATCTATTTGTAAGCAGCTGGCCCCGCCCCTTTCCACAGGTTGTGTGACACTTTAAATCATCAAACTGTAAATTTTAAATTGTTATTGATCCTTTACCCCGAGTCCTAAAGTGTATATTTATTTTCTTACTCCTCTTTGTTTCCTTGTACTGCTGTAGCTGGAGCCTCATCGTCTCGTCTCTATATGCTGGACTGTCTGTAGCGGAGATGACAATAAAGTTTACTTTGACTTCACTTCAGCAGCGCGCAGGCGCACCGAGGGCTCTCGCTCACTTTTCACGTACAGAATTTCGAAAAAACATCGGTGCAGATTATAAGTCTGTATCAGGATGTCTGGTGTTTTCGTGTTTGTTGGTTTGTTTTTATTTTGTTTTATTTTACGAGTTGGTTATTAGACGCTGCTCCCCGCCGCCCCAACCTCTCCTCCCTGTGGCGCAAGCAGCAGGCACACCTCGCAAACGGAGGGCGCCCTTACTCCCAGCAAATGGGCGATAGAAAACCGATCAGTGCCTGTGACATTCCCAGCATGATGTTGAGGCAGCATGAGCATTTTTTTTTTTTTGCCGATGCCCGTGATGCCGCCCCCCACCACGATGCCGCCCGGGCAACCGCCCATGTCGCCCGTATCTAAAACCGCTACTGCATGCAGAAGCTGAAAGGAGGCGACTCGGTAAAAGAAGGAAAATCACTAAGTAGGAATTATTAGTCTGAAGAGCCAGGGAGGGACTTTTTTCTGGGCTCATCAGAGGATCTAACAGATGAGGAAGTAAACACCTGTGTCAGGCTCTTTTAGCCACGTCACTGACAGTAAAAGTTTTATTGTGTTGGTTCTGATGAGTTTCAGCTGGATGTGTTCCAGGCTGTCTTTAAATCCAGTTTGAAATGCTGCTGCTGTAGGAGGTCGCACGTTTTGCTTGCTCTTCATCACTTTTAAAAACTCGGCCTAAACTTTTGGCGCTGTGCACAATCGTGCGCCGCCGTATTTTGCAGACATGTCCTCGCCGTCTCAGCTCTTCAGGTCACTCATTACAGGTCGCACCTCGTACTCACCTTTCAGGTCGTAGCACCTACTATTTGTGAGCATCTCCCCTTTATTATCAACTCTGAGGCTTGTCATCATGTGCTTTCTTTCTCAGTGTAACCATCACCCAGTGTTTAGTTGTAGGTTGTGTACATTTACTTCATGTCTTATCTGTGTTTAGTCGTCAGTCTGGTCCCTGTGTTGGTTTACCTTTCTGTTGGTATTGAAGTGTCACCTGTTCAGTTAGTTCCTGTTTTATTTTGATACTTCTTTGTGTCGTGTGCAGTTCTGCTTCATTAGTCACATTCAGTTCACTTGTGTTCCCCAGGTGTCTCCACTTTGCCCATTCGCTTTTGTGAATTTAAACCCTTTGTCTGCATCCTTTGTCGTGTTGTTCCTCATATTCCTGCTGTCTAACCTTAGTTTCATGTTTATTCTCTTCTTCATAAGTTCCCAGTAACAAAGTTGAAGTACTTCCACATCTCATCTCCTTCGTCCTGCACTCTGTCTGAACATGGTTAAAAGAGAGAGGGCATTTCTCCTTTCTACGAGCAGCAGATTCAAACCTGGCTTAAAGCTGGGCATGGGGCCATGAAGCCTGGAAACAGGATCACGTCCCACCGACACAAACTCACTGAAAAGCCAACTCTGATGGAATGACTTTGAGTCTCGGTTAAAAGTCAAACATCTCTCGAACACCCTAAAGCCCCCAGCTGTTCCCCACCCACAAACATCTGGATGACACACTGAGTTTGTACCATGGTGGGGGTGAGTGTCAGAGGACTTCAGCAGACTGTAACCTTGGACTGAAACCACAGGTAGCCCCACCCGTCGGACGCCCTCTGCTCGTGCAGGCACGATGCTCTCACTGCAGGTAAAAATGAAGACACAGAGACCTGCGACACTCGGGAGCTTTAATGGTCCATCATTTACAGGGGTGTACAGAAGCAACACAGCAGCACAGGAAGTTCAGTCAGCTGCGGCCAATCAGCTGAGAGCGCCGCCTGTTCAGTCCACAAATCACACAAACCCTCAGTCAGATCACATGACTCACTGATGCTCTATAGTCACGAGACCTCAAAGCTCATCAGAGGGGAGGACCTTCAGACGGAGCGTTCACACCAAGCACGAAGGGAAGCTTTCACGCTGTGACATCCAAAACGAGACAACAAGAAGAGAGGCGAATGCGTTTTGATACAATAAACAATGTATTCACCCGATCCTGCTGGCAGGAAGTATGGCGAGAGCTCAGACGGACGCCAGAGGAATCGCAACGCGAATGAGGCGGGAGTCGCACGATTTCGCTTCTTGTTCATTTTGAGCCAAACTGTGGATCCATCACACAGCTGAGAGAGTGCCATGGTTGCCTGTGCAGTTTGGCGCCAAAGTAAAGGAGAAACAAGTTGTCGAGGCAAAAATTTACCAAAAGTTCATTTCTACGATGGATGGCGGTTGGCTGAAGGGGGTTTTGAAAGAGGTGAGTCAATGTGCGAGGGTCTTATTGGACATCCTTCTTACTCACGACATCTTGCTCTGATGAGCTGATCGTACTGAGCTAACCGCCGCCATGCTTTTCAGCAGTTCAGCCCGAAATGCAGCGAAAGAGACGGGATTCAGACGAACGTAGACGGCTTGAAAGTGTCAAAAACAGACCTTTGACTCTTTGCAGGCAGTCAAACGGAGCAACACGGGGACGTGAATGCTGCACACAGCGAGGTGAAACTTTGCTCTGTTGTTCGTGTGACCGCAGCTTTGGATCGGCGTGGGGAGCCTTACAGGGAGCGTTCCTCGTCCTGGATCTGCCTTCATGAGGAAACACCTGCAGATGCTTGGGCATGGTCTCGGTGACCTTTGACCTGGTCAGTAAGTCGTCATTGATGGATTCGTGGCGCTGTGATACAGACTATGAGCCGGTATGATAGCTAATAACTTCCTGTGGTTGCTACATTGGACTCAGAGGCGTAGATGGACGCGTGATGGCGGCTGATGTTCTGCAGAAGCTTGGTGGTGCGTCGCCAGCTTCAGATGCCCATGTAGGTGTTCATCTTCCCCAGGGCGTCGCACACAGTGGTGAGGTCGCTGCGCAGGTCCTGCACCACGTCCTCGATGCTGCGGGTGTCTTTGAGCAGGTCGACGCTCTGAGTGTACGGGTTGTAGTACACCGAGAACGGGCGCTTTATCGTCTTTGCAAACTCTCTGCGGGAAAGGAAGCACGCACAGGAAGTCACGGCGGGCTTGGTCCAGGCAGGGGTTTAGTTCCTGTTCAGACTTTAAAACACTCATGATGCGTTCAGGGACTACTCGCTGCTTACCTCATCTTCTCCTTGGCCTCCTCGAAGCTCTCCGACACGAAGTAAACCTCTTGGAAGGTGGTGATGAGACACTCCTGGTTGCAGGTCGTCTTCGGGTCAAACATCTTTACACATGCCTTTTCAGACAGGGCATGCTGGGAAAAACATCAGCAGACAAACATCACTTCCACCGTGCGTGTGTGCGTGTGTGCGCGCGTGCGTCTGTGTGTGCGTGCACGTATGTGCATTGTGTGTGTTACCCTCAACTCTCCAATAGACGACAGTAAACCGGCTCCATAAGCTCTCAGCTGACCGTCCTGTTTGCACAGTCCGAACTCGATGGTGAAGAAATAACACTGAAACACACGAGGCTCCATCACTGATTGATCACTGATTGGTTCCTTTAAAAACTGGTTTCTATGGCATCATGTCCAAACCTCTGTGTTAGAGACATCAGCTGTTCAGATGGCCTGCGCTTTCATGTAATATCATTTTGCACCACAGGGGGTGTAACCACGCTAACCCTCACAAACAGAAGCTCTGAGCAGCAGCTGGGTGGGGCTTCTGTCCCATCTCTGTGATGTCATGGAGATGTATGACTATAAAAAACTGTGTGAAACTGAGTCTCTAGAGCGCATGTCTTTGCGTTGTTGATTCTGTTTTGTACTGAGTTACAGGGCTTCAAAGTAACTGAGTACTTTTACTCTGTTACTCTAAAAGAACAGATCCACTTTAAAGTGATGCTGTAAAGTTAAAACATGTTGGTGATGAAACATGTTCTTCTAGCGCCACCATCAGGTGACACTTCATCATTACATAAGGTGAGAATAGGACTCTCATCGTTCTCAAACAAAACATGAAAAAATAATTTTCGAAATTAATATAATTAACGTGTAATAGGGTGTAAAATATTTAATCTCATACAGCTGCTATTTTTAGTACCATTACTCTTAAAGAGATATTTATTTATTATTTTACTGGCTTATTTCAATTTCTTTTATCCTAAGTCTTCCGTAAACCTCCCACAGCTGGATTCGAACCTCTGCAGCGTTACCATGATGATGAAACTCACTGTGGCGAGTTTCTGAACGTCCTCGTCAGACGCTCCCAGGGAGGCCAGACCGATCTCCTGAGAGAACTGGGCAAACTTTGGATCAGCCAGTAGGGGGACGTGACCCAGCAGCTCGTGACACGTATCTCTGAGAGGAGGAGGAGGAAAGATGGATCACTACAACTACTGAACACACAGAGTGGATTTCACCTCTTTGTCTGCGTGATGCTGAGCTGGAGATCATCAAACTCATCAAACTAGAGATGGATGAAAGGTGGATGTGAGGTGGAGGTACTCACGGCTCGGGGGTGTAGAGCGGGTCGGTGCTGTGCCGGATGTACTGAGTGCAGTTGAAGACTCTGTAGGCCAAACCAGCCAGGAAGTCTCTGGGAGACAGATAACCTGCCACCGGGCGAACGGTGAAGCCAGACCGCTCTGAAACACACAGGAAGCCACACAGGAAGTGAGGTCATCATCCTGTTCAGCTCTGGCCCGTTCTCATCCATCAAAAAACATCACCGTGGAGGGATTATGTCATCAAAGAGGCGGGGCAGCCACCAACAGTGCTTCATGTTTCAGCAGAACTTCTGGAATCTGTAATGTGACTCATGGGTCACCTGAGTCCAGGTAAGCCGCTCACCTGGACTCAGGTGAGACGTACCTCTGAGGAATAGTGAGACGTCCTCCAGCTGCGGGATGTTGTCCTCTCTATAGCCACAGTGCTCAGTGAGCAGCGGCAGGTTCTTCAGGTACTCTTTGCAGGCGTGAGTCGGATACAGTTTGGTCAGCTCTCTGAACACCACGCCCCACGTCTTCACCTCCTCCTCCGTGTACTCGATACGAGGGATGGGCTGCCCGCTGTGGGGGGAGGGGCACGCGAGACGTGAAACACGTGAGAGGTGAAACACGAGAAAACACGACGAACGGACGAACATACTTACAACTTATAATTCATGGCCACTTCCACAAAGTACTTCCTGCGCTGGCGATAAACATTATCTTTAAACCCCTGACAGGAAGGAAGAGGACACACAGTCAGAGTACAGATATCCCATCATGCCCAGCTTTCTGCCACCTCTGCGTGCACCTATGGGCTGCTCGCAGCTTTGCTGCCACTCGTACGTCCCACCAAGAAAGGCTGACATCTGACACGTTAGCTGGACCTCCTCCAGTGTGTCGAAGCCCCAAAGACGAATTTATTTTGTGTGGATCGAAGAGCGGGCAGGTGTGTGTAAAAAGCCCCGCCTCTTCCACGTGAGGGGGCAGATGAGCAGCACATTGAACTCAGCACCTCAACCTGTGGGGAGGAACTCATTCTGAAGGTCTCACTTCCTGATCTATGCCACCTACAGGCTGGACAGCTGCAGACTCAGTTAAAGTTTTCCTCTTGAATGAAAACAGCTGTAGGAGGTCCAGAGGTGAACTCAGAGATGAGCCCGAAGACCCGAAGGAGAAACTTAACACCCTGACCTGCACACAAAGGCCCTAAACACTGCAGTCTGGCCCCCTCTTTGTCTCGAATGCAAGATGAACTCATGTTGCAGGCATCTGTGAGCTGTTCTTTATAAATAAAGTTGAACTGAAACGACTCACGGGATGGTCGGCGTCCAGCTCGGACCCGTACATCAGCACTCTGTGAGAACACTGATCCAACTCTGAGATCTTCATGGGAAACCAGGGAACCTCGTCTTCATCTGAGAAGAACACAGAGAAGTCTCACAACGCTTAAACACTGCGGCCTGTCAAACCTTTACATTCTGTATGATAGCTTTTCATTTCACAGTGTTGTCCACTACCTGCTGTTAGTGTTTGTTAGCCTCTGTTAGCTGCAGTTTTAGCTGCTTTTAGCTTGTGTTGGTTGCTTTGTTAGCCTCTGTTAGCCTCTGTTAGCTGCAGTTTTAGCTGCTTTTAGCTTGTGTTGGCTGCTTTGTTAGCCTCTGTTAGCTGCAGTTTTAGCTGCTTTTAGCTTGTGTTGGCTGCTTTTTTAGCCTCTGTTAGCCTGTGTTAGCTGCTCTTTTACAATATGAAAATGTCAAAACTGTTTATCAGGGGAAAAGTGTGATTTTTAGGACACTAACTGGCAAAATGTGACAATATCAGGAATGAATGAGCGAGTTTATGCATGTTTTCATGTATTAGCTCCCTGACTTCAGCTCAGGAGATGAACTTGAGCTGCGGAGGAAGACAATATGATTTTGCTTAGATGTCGAAGACATAGTCTCTTTCCTTCCTGTTTTTGTTTCTTTGGTGAAGGGGACGCCTTCTCCAGCGGTAAAACAGGCGTGGTCATTTAAATATTGCTCCACGGCACGTGAACACCTACGACTTCTCTTCTCCTCCACCTTTGCCGTTTTATCCACGTGGCTAGAAACTGGCCACTTCAGTCAAAACAAGATGAAGAGATCCAATCAGAACTAATCAGGTACTACAGAAAAGGTGGGGTGAGTGTGAAGTGATCCAATCGGAAGTGACCTCATTGTGCAGCGTTTCATCTGCTCCTGATAAACAACGAGGGAGGGGCGGTTCAGCCCACTCCCATGAAAACGTAACAGAAGAGGGAGAGAAGAAGAGACGCAGTCTTTGTAAACATCGTGGAGAATCACTCACCGCTCAAAACACAAATTTTACATTTTAGATTTGAGTCACTGAATCAACTTCAGATTACGTCTGCTGTAATCGCATCACATTTAGTTGACTAAAACTAAAGCAGTAGCTGTTAAGACAAAAGCAGAAAGCCTCCAGAAATCCAGGTGTGCGCCTGAGCGCGCTCATACCTGCTTCAGCACACCACACATGTGCTGGCGTATTGAAGGACACGATGTTGACGTGGTCTTTGAGATGCTCCAGCAGCTCGTTGAACTCTTTCTTGCTGCAGCTGCAGTCTGCAAAGATCTCCACCTCGTTAGGAACTCGCTTTGACATCCGAGACTCGATGTGGTTCAGGTTCACGTGCTTCTCCTGCAGGAGGACGCGAGGACAGAGAGGGTGAAGATGGAGGTGGGGCAGAGGTTCAGGCGTGATCTGTTTTTGAAGGCTTCCTGACCTGAAACAGTCTGAGAGCTTTGACCAGACAGCCGACCTCGTTCTTCAGAGAAAACACCACTGCCGTTTTCCCAGAATCCTCTGTGCCCTCTTTGTCCGGCTTCTCGTTGATGGGACAGAAGGACGGACGCCTCGACTGACAGCAACAACACAAACATGACAAAGAACGTGAGGTTATTGTGACAAAATGAAGCGTTTCAATCAATCAATCAAAGCTTTATTCGCCACATGAAGGTTGCCCTGCAGTGAAATGGGACCGCCCCCCCCCCAACCTTACACACACAACAAAGACATCACATGGGGATACAAGTCGGAGATCGGTAGCGTTACAGAAAAACACTGAAATATACACTACAATGGGAAAGTACAAGAGGAAAAAAAGAGACCTCTACTCATGCTGTGCTTCCATGGTAGGACAGCATGAGAACAGGAAACAAAAAAACTCCTCTGCACAAAAAGCACATAAATGTCCACAGCACAACTTTGTGAAAGACATGACAAGCCACAGGATTGGGTGGGGGGTGAGGAGTAATCTGAGGCGAACACAGCAGCCGCCCTGCACAGCGCTACCATTCCAGCGCGGCACACAGACCCGCCATGTTCCCCCGCAGGAAACAAGCATCGAAGGCGTTTGGAAAGGGAGGGGGGATGAGTGCGTGCTTATCTCTTGGCTCTTGGCGAAGGCGGTCGCACTTTTCTCCTCTCCTCCTTCCCCTTATCTTCCCTGCTTAGCCTCTTGTGTCCTTGTCTTGTCTCGTGTGCATTACTTTCCCTGGAACAGTCTCTCACTGTCGTTCTCTAAAACCTAAAAGAATTATGGATTTGATCAACTGGTCTCTGAATGCTATTGACACCCTTTTCTCAACGAGAAGTCTGGGCTCGGGAGAGCCCGAGTGTCCTGGAGGGACTTTCCCTGCCGGATACACAATGGACGGGTGGCAGAATCGGAGGATCATGTGCCTGGCAGGACTGTCGATCGAGGACGCTGAAGATATCTACCTATTCGGAACCATGATAACAGGGTTCTTGCTGATCGGAGCTGGCTAGGCCCTGGCTTATCGGAGAATTACGAGAGCAGAACCAGCTGTTCAAACCCCCCCAAGGCTGCTCGCTGGAATCGAAGCGAGGCGCGACCTCTCACAACGAACGCAGCATGGCTAACACCTTGGAGACGCTTACAGCTGACGACTCAAAATAACACCATTGAGCATATATTGGGATACATCAAAGAGAGGCCTGCTCAAAATGAGACCCTTGAGCGACAGTTGGATGACATCGCAGAACGGATCACTGCAGTTGTGGGGTCTCAGAATCACAAGAATGATAACACCATGGAACAGAAGTTTGATACCATCATGGGGAGGCTCTATGATGTTACTTACGCTCCATGATGTTGTCATTCTTTTGCTCAAAGAGCAGGTTCTGAGAACTCACGACTGCAGTGCACTTCCCCAAGATGTGATCCAATTTGCGCTCAAAGGTGTTATTCGAGCTAGCCCCTCCAGATGTAATCCAGTTTTTCACTCAGAGGTCTTGTTCTGAGTATTCATGGCAGCCGTGCGTTCTCCAAGATCTTATCCATGCTGCACTCAATGAGCCCATTTTGAAAAACTCACGCCTCGTCCCATCATTCCAATCCCAGCGAGCAGCCTTGTGGGGGTTTGAACAGCCGGTTCCGCTTCCTTAATTCTTCGATAAGCCAGGGCCAAGCCAGCTCCGATCAGCAAGAACCCTGTTATCATGGTTCCGAATAGGTAGATATCTTCAGTACTCAGGCTCACCCGAGCCCAGACTTCTCGTTGAGAAGGGGTGTCAATTGCATTCAGAGACCAGTTGATCAAATCCATAATTCCTCTTTTAGGTTTTAGAGAACAGACTGTGAGAGAGTGTTCAGGGAAAGTAATACAAAAAACACGAGACTAGACAAGGACATAAGAGGCTAAGCAGGGAAGATAAGGGAGAGGAGGAGGAGGAGAGGAGAAAAGTGCGACCGCCTTCGCCGAGAGCCAAAACAGATGTTTAGAAGCATCAACCAATCAGGCCTCTGACTATGCGATGGAGGTCTCATTAGCAGGGGCGGATCTAGAGAAATTTTCTTAGGGTGGCAAAGAAATCAAATGGGGTGGCAAAATCAAAGCCTTTCCCCCCCAAACACTCATGCAGGTGGTTACATGTGGTTACATGATTCAAATGCAGTAAGTATGCACGTTTTTCATATAAATATAGTCGATAACTTAATTATTGTCTGTAGCCCACATGATTACACACTTTAGTTACATAAAACATGTGAGTTTTGATGCTATGTACTGTATAGCCTGTATGATAAATACATATGTAGCCCAATAAGTATAAACTCCAGAAAGCTACACAACATGGGGTGCTTCATTTACAAACACAAGTCTAACTTAAGTTTCACTGTTTTTGTTAGAAAACAGTCACATTGTTGCAGCTTAAATTACACAAAATGTCAGAAATCTGCACCGTCATGAACAAACATGTAAACCTCATTTTTCATGATTTGTTGGATGAACCCACTGAGGCCTGAAATACAACCGGACATTTGTGACTCCTTTGAGTTTACGTTGTTTATGTCCAACACAGACATGTTGGGTAAATGTTTATAACTTGAAATGCAAATATAAAACGTACATTCTGTAAACATAAACAACTATTTATCTAAAAATGCAGCCAATACACCGTTTGTTTCATTTTCTACAACCATTTAAAAATATTACTAAAACTAAAATGAGAGAACAATCAGGTGTGGCAATAAGATGCCCCACAAATGATGTGTGCCAGTAAAAACAAGTTTGTCCACCAAAAGACAGAAGAGCACAGGGACAAACCTGCAGGCCCGACAACAGCAGGTGTATCACTCCGCTGGTTTCTACTTAGTGACAGTGTTTACGTTGCAAATGTGCCTCTGTGACAGTCATTAGTGCCCTCACTGACACACTAAACAAAACGACTACACAACAGAACGACTACACAACACACTAAACGTCACAAATCTGCCACATCTAAACTCTCTCTCGCTCGCCCTGTTACCGTCACTCCCCAAACTCTCCCCTCTTCCTAAACAACCAAATCCCACATGTTGACTTTTTTTTAATTGGTCGACATGGTGCATTTTTCCACCAATAAGAAAGAGGTGGCTTTTTTCCTTTCTTTACTGTTTTCGTGCTGTCCTTACAAAACGCTTAAAGCACACACGTGACGACAGTATTTAGAACAAAGCCTGGCTGATATATATGATCATAACTCTGGATTTACTGGCCTGTAATTAAAATTTAAAACTTTGAAGTCCGAACTTTCAATGTGGCTGAAACAGAGACTCAGCGTGGCTGCAGCTTGTTGCTGTGTCAGCTTACATCAGTCATGTGATCTGGAGGTGCAGCGTGTCCGTGGACCACAGAGGGTTAATAACACTCACCTTCCTTCCATTTCCACAGTGTAACATCCACCCACCTGTGTAAAATCCGAAATTCCCATGGTGTTGTTCAAAATGTGCTCTGGCACGATCATGAGCATCGCTTGCTGCTGAAAACAAGAAAAAAGCGGTCTTGCTATGGGCTGAACCATTTGTTACTGGTGCAGGGGGGACACTATGCAATATATTCAGTTTTAGCATTTATACTCACTGCTGACTGTAACTACGCTCAAACTGTTACTGCTGTCTTATTTTAATAAACAACACTGTCATATGCAAAACTGGGGTGGCAAGGGATCCTTTTAGGGTGGCACTTGCCACCCCATGCCACCCTTCTAGATCCGCCCCTGCTCATTAGGCCCTCCCACTATGCTACAACTGTGGATTTTAATGCCACCCTGCACCTGAGGGGGCGACAGTGAGTCAGCCCTCAGTCCAACGGGACAGGAAGCAGCACCTCCAGGTCCAAGAGGAGCGTGCAGGCAGGGTGGAGTGGGTGGAGAAAGAGTGTCAGGGGTTTGGAGATGTGGAGATGCTCAGATGTTTGTTGGAAGTGAGCAGTGTGGACAGAATCCTGTCATCAGCGGAACGGCTCAGACTCAGAGAGGCTGAGATGGTCTGAGCCTGTGCAGAGGAGGAAAGGTGAAGGGAGAAGCTGCAGGCAGGAGGAGAAGAGCTCAGAGGAGGTTCATGGATGCAGTGAAGGGAACATGCAGAGGGTCGGAGTGACAGAGGAGGGTGAGTCGTCTGTGTCCTGTGCAGATTTAGCTCAGACTCCCACCAGCAGGGGGCAGTGTTTGAGCAGGAGTCAGGCTGAGGTGCTTCTGCTGCTGTGAATGAATTTAAACTGTACCAGTGTGTCTGCAGGCCACCTGACCTTCATCAGCTGATGGAGCCTTTTCTCCACCCTAAACCTTTTTACCTGCGTGCTTTTGTTTCCACTGCGTAAACTAAAGCACAGTTCTGTTTCTGGTTGGGTGACTTCCTCTCAGTAACGCCATCAGTATGATCGCTTGCTCTGATAGGCCGGCCTCATAAAGGCGTGGAGCGTTATCTGATGCAGACGGCGACAAATTTCCCCAGAACTGCTGTTCAAACACACGGTGGCAACGGCGTGAAGCAGCTTGCTCTGACAGCTGTTAGCGTCATGAAATAAAGATGTGGAGCTGCCGACGGATGCTCAGACAAACAGCCCATAGCCTAGCAACCGACGACACGCTGCTTACCCAGAACTCTGACGGCAAAGACCCCACAGTGAGCACGGACACACAACTCTGAGTGTGTACTCTGAGTCTACTCTTTACCTCATGCTGAGCCTGGACATTATCTTTCGCTCTTCTTCAGTGTCTGGATTGTGGACGGTTTTTGTTTTTCGTGGACGAACTTCGATCCCTGCGAGCCGACTGGCAGGAAAATGCCGCCTGCAAAGCTGCATGGAGGGAATATTTAACGTGTGATGTAAACGATGCAGAGCCATCAGCCTGACTGCAGGTTTTTCATGTTGGCCCAGAGAAAAAGAAGAAATATTGCTTAAATACAGTCCAGAAACATCACTTTAGGCTGACCGTTTCATGCTAGGGTTTAAATTGTATTTGCATTTGTTTTTCTGCTTTTCTTTGACAGATTTCCTGCCATTTGAAAAAGATGTAAATAGAGAGAATGGTGCAGAGATAAAACAGAAATAAAAGGAATAAATAAATTAAAGTGAATGTAAATAACGAGTATCACAGAAAGAACTCTGTAACATTAATTCATGTCAGATTCATTAGTTCCTGTAGATTTCTTTTGGCACATTTGTTCCTCCATAAAGCAGAGGGTCGAACTAGAGTGTGGAGATGAATCTTCAGTTACTGATCTGATCGCTCTGGGCAGTTCTTTTTAAATCGTTTGATCTGTTTCTGCTGCCTGGATGAATATTCTCAGCTGATGGGATTACTGCCTTGCTCAGAGGCTCTTCAGCAAGAAGGTTGTGTGATCAGCCAATTCAAGTAAAAAAGTACTAAAAGTAGAAATAATTAGTTTGACTTTGAATTTTTGGAGCAGAATTTGAGAAATAAAGAGTTTCTTATTATCTTCTCCTGACCAGCAATCAATAAAGTCCTGAAGCTGCTCTCAGCTACAGTACTCGAGTAAAAGTACCCAGTTAGTCTAAAAGGAGGAGGATGAAGACTCCTCACCATCTGTCCGCCGGTGTGCCGCTGCCGCTGATGCTGCTGGTCAAACATAGCCGAGTCCAGCGACAGCCCGCGCCGCGACCAGTACTTGCTGGAGAACATCATCATAGCCGGTTGCATCCTGGGGATGGGTTCGCCATCGTCCTTCATCACGTGGCCCGACGCCATCGGGAACCAGTGAGTGTACGAGTACCAGGACTCCAGACTGTCGCTCTGCCGCCGCTCAGGAGGACGAAGAGGAGGATGATGCTGCTGATGCTGCTGGAGCTGTGAGCCGCTGCCGACCCGCCTCCTCAAAAATACTCCCCCAGGAGGGGGAGGGGGGGGTAAGCTCCACCCACAGCAGTCTCCAGGTGGGCGGAGACTTTGGCAGCAGAGTGACATCATTAGAGCACACATAGCAGCTCAGAGACACACCTGAACACAAACACACACTCATTTTCACATCTCCTTGAGGACATTGAGCTGATCTAACACTTTACCTGCTGTCTCACTCTAACCAATAGGAGCTAATGCCTGACCCCAACAAAGACCTAACCACAGCTGAGGACCGCCATTTGGTCCTCCCAATTACTGGTCCCCACAAAGATGTTTAAACGAGCACGCACACACGCACACAGGGACCTGCGTGTTTAAAAGCAGTGAGATTGTGATATTAATGCCACGTTATGCCCCTGAATAATGACTGTCAATTATTATGTAGTTTTAGTTTGCATTATTCTCCTGAGTTACATTTGTTAATCTGCATTGCATTAGACTGCTGGCTTATTGTGAATGAATGATATTGTTTATGATGCATGATACTGCTGAGGTATAAGAAATACTGTTTTCAGAGTCAGGACCTTGTTTTCTGATAATAGAGGAGACAGAGAGCTTCTGCCTGGTAAAAGGTCAGAAGCATCAACGGGCGGGGTGAGGCCGAGTGCATTTGGAGGTTGAGACACACACACACACACAGTAGTTAGACTCATGTTTAGGTAAGAGTTCAAATAATAGTTTGCAAAAGCTTGTGACTGCAAAATTGTGTCTGCCTAAGGGACAGTTTGCTCCAGGAGATAAGCGAGAGTTATTAACAGGAAGCACCTGGCCTCGAGACGGAGAAGATGTCCTTTTAAATGTGTCGAAAGTCGTCAACAGAACATTTGTGGTGTTGAAACGTATGCATGTGTTGTATCTGTTTGACACATGAGGGGGCGTCATAAACAATACCCTGATGTTATGAAAACAACTGCTTGTGTATCGTTGGGCGGAGATCGATGCTGTCGGCGTGCAGTGTTCATCTCCCCACGCGTGTGTTCATTAAATCATCTTAACTCTCCTGGACCAATTGTTGTCTTTGTGCTCACCCTCAATATTTGAACTCGTAACACCCTGACACACCTGGTCACCCCACCTGAGCGATTTCCCGCTGACGTCGAGTGTCATGTGACAGGTAGGACATAAAGAGTAAGAAAGGCTCCACGGCTCCGCCCTCTCTGGCTTGGACGGACCATACAACTCCCGCAGGTGAGGGGCTTGTTTCCTGCTCTCACACACCTTAAATACCTGCCTATGTTCATAAATCCTGTCACACAGCTGACCTTCACCCACAGAAAGTCATGTGACCACAAATCAAACTGATCACGTGTGGCGACTGGAGCCGATCAGGTGATGACACCTCTGACCTCTACCTTACTCATAGCAGCAGCAGTGGAAGCTGATGTCATTCCAGCTTGGGTCACATGATTCCCACCTGTACATCCTGCTGTGGCCCCGCCCCCCCGACTGCCAGACATCAGAGAGGGTGGTTTGGTTCGACTGTAAACATCTGCAGCTCTCGGCCTAATGAGCTTTGAGTCTGGAATGGCGCTGTGCTCTGATTGGTCGTTTCAGATCTTAAACTTCAGTTTGAGGTTTCATCAGCTGTGGGCACAGAGGAGCGGAGTCCTCTATTAAACCTGTGGGCGGGCAGGTGATGGACGGCTGATGGTTGGCTGATAAACGGCCATGATGGCAGCCGCGGTTATCAGCGTGCGGAGACAATTTCCTGCCACACAGGAAATGAAAGCTGCATCGGGAGGAGCCGCGGCTGCTTTGTTCCTGAGGCTTTATGAGCTGATTGCAGGTGATACCTTCATCTTCCTCCTCCTCCTCGTCGCCTTTAAAACCAAACTTCGCCAATCTAAGGAGGCAAGGAGGGGGAGGTGGTGAGGGGGAGGTGGAGGAGGAGGCCAGGAGATATCTGACAGTCGCATGAAAGCAGCTGAGGTGACATTTGGAGCAAACGGGAGGAGGCGTGACATTTATGAAGATGAATCGAATCATTTCCTCACATCGATGCAAGCAGAGCAGCTGCCCTCCACCTCCCCTCCCACTCTGACTGTGCAGTGGCGCAGCTCTCTGATTGGAGCTCGGCCCTGCAGGTGTGTTTTCCTTCTGCGTGTGACACAAAGCGAAAATGTCCGCGCGAGCATCATCGTAAATAATATGGCCTCCCGTGACGAGCTGCGATGCTGTGTCCAGCTGTGGTCTCCATGGTTACTGACAGGTCAGCTCCAATAAGAGAGAGAGATGGCACTCAGTCCTTAACGTATTTTAAGGTGGAAGCAGACCTACAGCTGCTGATATTTATGAGGACAAAGTTCAGCGTGTGTGGGTGGAGGTGAACATGGTGCAGTCGGACTCAGTGTCCCCGTATGCTGAACCGTCCCAGCAGCAGCGACCACAACACGCGCAGGATGTTTGATTGTATTCGGTAAATCCTGAGTGTTTGACTCACATACACCACAGATTTCAGACAAACTGAGCCTCAGGAAGAGGCTCAGTTTGGAGGAGGAGGCCAGGAGAAGTGTTTGTGCTGACGTCGGTGAATACGACCCCAGACGCTCCTCCTCTCAACGCCAGCCTCGTTCATATCATCTCCACAAATCGAAGAGGATTTAGTTTTTGTAGTCCGCCTTCAGCACCCTGTAGTTAAAGAGCAAAGGGTGTATTGCACCACTTCACCTCACTACAAGCAGCAGGCGATTTTAGACCCAGACAGGCCGAAGGGCTGTGTGCTGCTACATCATTGAGTCTACAGGAGGTGGAGGCCCTGAACCACTCAGGACTCCACCCAGCCACCTGTGGCATCAGTGCGTAGTAGGGGTGCAACGATACACAAAATTCACGGTTCGGTTCGATACTTTGGTGTCACGGTTCGATATTTTTTCGATACAAAAAAATGTTCATGCCTTTTTAATTTGTCATTTATTAAAATTATAAATATATATTTTAACTCAAAAGTACAGTTTTTAAATTTAATGTTGCTGAAACAACAAAGTAAAAAAATAAATCTATCTGATCGAGAAATCACTCATCTTTGGAAAAGAGAGTTTATTACAGAGAAATGGCTCTTTCCAAAATAAAAGCTATACTATACGCTTCTTCTGGGCTATATTCTCAGCAGCATATTAAACATATCAGGTCCCCATAAGGAGAATCATGTGCTAACGGCTGTCTAAATGACTCGGGTAAAGTTAGTAGCATGCTTGTTGTTTTTGTCTTTGCACTAGGATGATGTCGGCATAAATGTGCAGTCATATTCGTTGTGTTCCCACTAGTGCTGTCAGCGTTAATCTGAAATGACGTTAACGCCACAACACGGCAAATCTCCGTTAACGAGCTAACTGCGCTAACACACTAGTTCCCACCCATGTAATTGAGCATTGCATGGCACATCCAACATACTGTTTTACTTTAGTCCATGACTCGCTTACCTTCAGGGTCATACGTCACATGAAAACCAAAATAATTCCAAACGCCAGATCTGAATGAGGGTGGGGGAGGTTCAATTTGCCATGTTGCAAGGAGAGCTTAACTTCTGTCTTGCTAGCTTGCGCTGCGCTCAGTGGATCTGCGCTCGACAGTGCAGCCTAGGCGGAGTAGTCGAGCGCAGATTCACTGAGCGCTCCACACAGACAGCATCGTCAGAAGAAAAGTTGATAAAATAAATTACAAATGGCAAATGTTGTATTGTTCGATACATATGCGTACCGAACCGAAAGCACTGTATCGAACGGTTCAATATCGATACGAATATCGTTGCACCCCTAGTGCCTAGGTAAGGCTACAGCGTTACTGAGCTGTGTCCTCGTTACATCAGGCAGGCGATGCAGACCAAAGAGCTCTACTGCACCACCTGCTAGCGTTCCTCAGGTGGAGCCATGCTGGACGCTGAGGTCGTCTGCACTCACAACATGAACCAGATTCAGTGTTTCAACCCTGAGAGGAAACTGTGTGTGTGAGTGTGATCCAGATGTCACAGCTGAGACGGTTTCACGCTGCAGGAAACAAACTTTATTTCTTTGGTTTGTTCGCCGTCGTCATGGTGACAGAAGCTGATGACGTGGAGTCTTTAATCTGATCTCAGTACAGAGAAAAACGTCAGAGCGCCAACAGGAAGAGGAACACAGGCACCTCCTGTCGGCGAATAATGCGAGCGCCATCATCCAACAGAAAGAGCTCCTCCCTCTGTCACTGCATGGCCAATCAGGGCTCTTGTTGGCAGAACTTCCTGGATCTGAAGCCTCATTCATTCATTCAAACTACAGCCAGACAACTGCTCCACCCTAACCCCTATCTTTAACATATCTGTAACACTCAGGAGGCGGAGCCAACAGGTGAATGATTGCTCAGTCACTGGTTGCCTCCACCTCCTCTTCATCAGGATGAATGAGGCTTCAGAGTGGAGGAATGCCCGATTAGAGCCGCACGATACAAGAAATTACAAAAATAAGATTCTTAATAATCTCTTTACACACACACACACACACCCTCCTCCAGTGAGGCGGGGCCACAGATTCACCCCGCCCACACACAGTCCATCTCCACTCTTCACTACGATACAAAGGCCCCTCTGCCACTCTGCTCGCAGCTGCTTTCTCTCGAGTGTCCGTTGGAGACGCCAACCTCCCGCCGAGCTGCTCCGGAAGTCGCCGCCGAGCCGCAATCGGTCGAGCCTGCACGGCGAGACTCGACGTCAAAGCCCAAGATGGTGGCGACAGGGCGAGGGAGGTCCTGAGGAGGAGCAGACAGGTCAGGGTGAGGGGTCAGATGGACGTACCACGACAGAAGACGCTCCCTGCACTCACCTTGCAGCTCCTGATCTGCAGACAGATGCCCTCAGCTTTCTGCAGGATCTCCTCGATGTCCAGCTTCATGGAGAGCTCGTTGATGTGCTGAAACACACACAGGCCAGTGAACAATCTCAGGTGTGCACAGATCTCCGGACAGCTTTGGGGCGATGCTCACCTTCAGGATCTCGTTGAAGCCGTAGTTCTCCTCCATGATCTTCTGCTTCTCTGAGTCCAGGATGGCGCAGCACACCAGCAGGTGAAAGTTCTCGCAGGGCAGCCCGGTCCACATCACCTGAGGAGGAACCACACGTGAGACCACAGGAAGAACGACACCTGTCAGCACCTCCGACCCCGCAGGAGGACACCAACCTCCCAGAGCCGCAGCACGTCCACGAAGCTCAGTTCCCTCTTGAACCTGATGAGCAGCCAGCGGAAGCAGAAATACAGGTATCCTGAATCCTGAGACTCTGAGACACAGACAGAGGGGGCGGAGTCATTCAGAGCCGCCGTTATTCACAGCAAACACACATGCACAGCTGCAGGCGGCGTACCGAGGTAGTTCCAGAAGGCAAGGTCGAGCAGCCTGAGCAGCGAGCTGAGCTGGATCAGCTGAGTCTTCATGCCCTGCATCTGCTCCTCAAAGTTCTCGTGCTGCAGGACACACGGCGGTAAATCAGCACGCGGTTAAACGTCCGAGCTGTTAGAGCAAAGATCAGACTCACCATCTGGTCCATGAAGGCCACGAAGCACCAGAAAGCCTCGACCTCATTCTCCATGACGTAGAGGATGGGCGACAGCAGGTCGCTCATGCCCTGAACGTAACCTGCAACACAGAGAGCTTCCTGTCACGACCAGGAAACGGGAAGCGGCGCTGTACCTGCGGAGGCAAAGCGTTCGCTCACCCAGGTCGAAGTCGTACATGCAGTAGGTCATGAGGATGTCATGCAGCAGGACCAGGCCCGGGTTGTCGATGCCCTCGTAGAAGCGGTTCGTTCGGTCTGTTCGGTTCACGTCCTTCTCTGAGAGCGCAGACACATACGTCACATGACCTTTGACCTTTACCCCCTCATGGCAAGCTGTACCACCCAACTCAGAAGACTAAAGCGGTCGTTGCTCAACTCCCGCAGCTCTCCCTCCTCCTCACCGCGGCAGTAACTGAGCATTCACTCGAGTACCTCACTGAAGTACTGCGTTCACTCCCCGTACTGCAGTATTTCACATGTAAAAACTCCTTTAACTTTACAGGTAACGCCTCAGATCTGATCCCGGCGACAGTGTTACGATCTCACCCACCTGCTGCACCCGACTCCACGCTGACATCATCTCCAGCATCAGAGCAAGAATCAATCGCTCATCAATACTTCCGATTGACATTCTTTGGCACATCAAACATCACAAACACCTTCAAATGTGACGTCATCCACCCGCTACACTGGACTGCTCTCCATCAGGAGCCCCGCCCAAATAACCAAACAAGGCCTGAGCCGAGGTGCTGCTCACCGATCAGACTGCGGTAGTCTCTCAGTCTGGAGTTCCTCCTCTCCTGCTCCTCACTCACAGATTTCCACTGCAGCTTCATCCTGAAGTATTCATCACTGACACACACACACCCCTCATGTTAACATGATATACACACCAGTCAGGGTAATCGTGTGTGTGTGTGTGTGTGTACGTTTTCTCTCTCTGCAGGGTCTTCCTCTCCTCGTGCGTGCTCTCCCAGGGATAATACCCCAGCAGGAACTTCCAGGCCTCCTTCCTGAGGGCGTGGCAAAGACCCTGCAGACGACACAGACGCGTCAGGGCGTGGTCTCTGCTCGTTTCAATCAGTGTCACAGGTCAAAACACCAACGAGTGCTTTACAGTAAACTCAGGCATAAAAACCAAAGTGAAGATCAAACAGCCCAAAACTGAATAAATGAGTGATGCTGCTAAGAATAACGTCAGCTGATTGGTTCAGACCTGGACACACCCACAGACACGTACGTACCCCCTTGAAGACGGCGTGTTTCAGGTCTGGGACATCCTTCATCCTCCCGTCTGCATCCTGGTGTCGCGCCCAGTCGTCTGCAGTCAGCGGCGACTTCCTGCTCACCTCGGGCCTCGTGCCCAGGTCGATCTGACGGGGTCAAAGGTGAGCAAAGAGCATCACACGGCTGACACACCCGTTGCCACGCGTCTGCCTAACAGCCAATCACATTAGACCCCTCACCCTGGTGATGACCTCGAAGCCCGGCTCTTCCTGCTGGTTGATCTCCAGCCCCGGGATGACCTCGCCCAGCAGGTCGGCCACCTCCTCTGGGGGGCGCTGTTGCTGCTCCTCCATTCCCCGCAGCGCGTCGAATAAGTAGTTTGTGACTTTGGAGAAGCCGCCGAGCGTGGTGACGTACGGGTCCCGCTTGAACTTCTGCAGGAGACAAACGCAGAGCTCATCAGCCGACGAACGCCGGAACAAGATGGAGCGCACGACTCCAAACGTCATCTGAAAATAAATCCTACGACGTGTTTTCACAGACAGAATTCTACGTGTGAAACCAGAGGAGCCAACACGGGCAACAGCCCACCGCAGCGACCTCGCTCACAAAACCAACACACAGATTTATTTAGTTTGAAATAAATGCGCTCTGACGCACAGCAGCTTCCACAGAAACATCTGCGTGAAGATCACACGTTAATGTGTCCGTTTAAATCACCATGGTAACAGCTGCTGAACCCCTCACTGTGAGGACCATGTGATGCTCACACTTTTATGTGCAGCATGTTTCAGTGCGACAGAGTCCCTGTGCGCACGTCGCCACACTCCATGACGTTGACACGTCACATGCTAAAACCTCATAAATGTGTTTTTGTACCTGCAGTACACCACAGGAAGCTGTGGGGGCAGCATCGCTGCATCACCTGCCCAGACTGCACTCAGCACACAAATAATTGAAGAGAAATCAGACAGGTTAATCGACGACCAAATAATCTATAGTTGCACCCCCGTCTGCGCGCGTGTGCGTGCATGTTTGTGCATGCAAATCCAGATGTTGGAGCCTAACAGCTGGCAGTGAGAGATGGTTAAACTTCTTACGTGAACCAGGCCGAAGTTGTTGTCGTCCAGAAGGTTCTCGAAG